ATTAAAGCTTAATTTATATAAAGGATATGGTATAAATACTAGATGTTAATTATTTAGTCCAATTACTTTAAGAAAAAGTAGCTTAGATTTAATAAATAAAAGTTGATCGATTGCCCATATCTACTTGAATTTTCGGAATAGATAAATAATGAATTGATAATTTTCTGACAAGACTATAAAAATCTATTTAAGATTCTCCATTGCTCGAAGACTTGTCATTTTTATTAAAACTACCCACAAAAATGGAAATCAATGGACCTTTATCTTCGAGAAATAGCATAGCTGGTTACTATATAGTTAATATATTAAATAATGGAGGAACCAAGAGACGATTGAAGGAATACCAAGTGGACAAAATGTCCTTCTCCATTTGATTGTGCGATTCGAGTGGCGCAATATTTACAAAATTGGCTGTCCTGGTTACAGAATTCAAATTTCATGAGTTTTTGCCTGGAGAGCAGTTAAAGTCTAGCTTTTGGGAAATCGAAGTGATCTTATGCAATATTCACCTACTCATCGTCCTAACATAACTAAAATCTGTTTATTTTTTTAATAAAAGCTCATGTCTACTTCTGTGCTACATAGATTGAGCTCACTTTATAAACAAGTAATGCAAATCAGACTCAATCATGCCAACATATGGTCTTTACAATATAAGCAAATTGAGGGTATTTTTTGATCACTACCTAAATACGTGAATAAATTGGGGGACACACCCTAAACCACAAAAGTATCATCGAGCCCCTGGGAGGTCTTACCAATTCCAGAGACCAAGCAAGAAGTGGACAGATTAGTTTTTTCAAATTGATCTATTTTATGTCTCTTCCCAAGAGTCTCTTGTTTATAGAAAGAAGGCATTTGAGTTTATATGAAGTTATTGGTGGCATGAATTGAGAAAATAAAGTATCCATGTAATTAGAAGTAAAACGTTGAAACGTTATCGCACTCTGTTAAAGATCCATGAGCATATTCTTCTCATCACGCTTACAAGGGAAACGATTGTTTTACCAAGAAAGTATACATGTGCGGCTATGTTCGCTAAGTTACTATATGCAAGCAAATACTGGGCTTTTATCACTAAAACTAAACGACCGAGTATGTTAATTCAATTAGTGTAAAATAAGGATTTGTGTGTTATTGAAATGCGTTCACAATTTCAAGGCAAGAATAAAAAAGTTGCTACTTTGACGTAAATTGGACCCTCAGATCCCTCAGAGATTTAATTAAAATTATCACCATCAACTTATCACAAGTTGAAGGTTGAAAAAAGTTGAAATCTTGTAACTGCATCCTCTTTCCTGTTTACTGGCAGCTAATTATTCCTGATCCTAAATTGCTATTTCAATTGCCGCTCAAAGCAGAGGAGTTATTAAAACGGTTTATATTTTCCATTCTTGCTCAGTCTCCCAGTTGCTATTAATTGGGTAGATTAGAGAACCAATTAAAACAATAGAAAACAGATTTATTAACTCACTGCTTTCGGATAGAATATATTAATTGAGCAATTAGTAAAATAATCGTTTTAAATATTTACACGCCTTTTACTTTAGTGAGCAGATTCAATTAAACCCCAAGTAGATGAATGTGTAGAAATTGCGGCCTTATTTAATCAAACCGTGTACACTCCCCACAAGTATTTGGTGATGGACATATTTTTTCTTTCATTGATTGGATGGATCCAGGGCCACTAGCCAATTAGGCTGTGTGCGTATTTCCAAAGACTTCTAAGCCACTATTGTGGTCCCAAAATAAACTGCCCGGTTGGAGGTCGATTGAAGGCACGAATGCCAAGGATGCGGCTATTGGAAGGTAAATTTGCTTGAGAGATAAATAAACAGATGAGGAAAGAGACTGGAATTTTTCGAAATTAAGACCTACCTACAAATTTATAAAAAGTGTAGGCGTTACCAATCACAGAGTAGAATAAATATGAAATGAATATTTTGTGCTTTAAAGCCTCAAAAACGGGAAGCGTTTTCCAGAACTCGTTGAATTTAGCCATCGGTCTTAGTTTCGAGGTGGTCTCTTGATTGGACAAAACGTGATGTACATCCCCTAATTCAAGACTACTAAAACGCCCTTGGCATTGTGCCTACTAGTTAAGTGTTCAGACTATTAGTTTGTCAATTTAATATTGTGGACATTCCTTCTAGCTGTAGAAAAAATTAACCGAATTTTCAGCTCAGTTAGTACTATCGTAGTGAGTTGTGCTTAAAAAATTAAAATACCGCAGCATGACTCCACTTCCTAATCTCTAAATCGGTGGATTCGAAAGTGGTCATTTTTCGTGGTTTTAATTATTTAGAAGATAAAGTCTTTAAGAACTCGATGAGTGCTCAAATGCAGATAATATTTCTCATTATTTGTCACATTTTACACTTATATCATTGTCTCTAACCGTTCGCACATTTTTGGCGAAATTTCATTTTTACAAGCACAGACATTTTTTTACATATTGATACATAAGAAAAATTGAAGTGATACTTGACAGTTAAGTTTGTGAGCTGTCGATTAGTGACACAACACTGTTTATTTGCTGGTACGGATGGTATGATATAAATATGTTTCACCCTTATGACTATCACGTGAAAAAAGTTCATCTTCAAGTCAAATAAATCAAAAGAACAACTGCAATTACTTATTCACATGAATGAAACTTGGACACGATTTCCTAACTACTTTTTTCTTCATTCTCTTTGAGGATCTCTTTATCTGAACAATTGTTTCATTAGGTCGCACGAAAAACACCTCCCTCAATTTCAATTTCAAGTTAAATCAATGTGCTTTATGTCTCAAATTCGTATCTTCTTATTATTCGTTTGAAAATTGTGATGAGATGTGACTGGTTAATTAAATTTGACACTAGCATACCAGCACAAATACTACCAAAGGGCAAAGATCAAGCTATACCGGTAATATAGATCAACTCTCAAAAGGTAAGGTTTATTTAATTTCACATCTAATTTTGCTATTGCCACAGGACTTGACCGATATGCCAGGTCGGTATTCATTAGATCATGTTTATTTTCAGCTATTGACCCTTTGACACCCTTAGGATCGTACGGTCCTCTTTCAGAATAACAGAAGGCACTGTTGCAGTTTGCAGCATGTTCAATACGGTTATATCCATTGCCAGATATCGCCAAAACTTATCTCATCGGCATCAATCTTCTATAAAACACGCGTGAGTGCGTTTGAATGCATTTTCATGAAACTAGAATTTGGGCGTTAAAATCTCGGAAACTAAGACGTGTGGGATTACTGATAATAACCCGAGGCAAAAAACACTAGGTTAGGCTAATAAGATGATCTTTATTGTATAATCTCAAGAACCTGAATCTAATCCCGTTGTTTTAAAAGGAGTGAATTCATTTAGTCTACTCTGTTTCAACTGGTGAGGGGAGGATTTATCCAGTTTGTAGTTGCTGGAATTAGCAGCTTTAACAAAATTGGCCAATAGAAGGAACATTTCACTCCAATTCTTATGTCCTCTTCAAAGCCTTCAAGAAAAAAATGCACAAATTAAATTAACGGTATTGGCTACTTCAGACTTCTATTGTCTGTAAATAAATTGAATAGAATGGCCAATTTGTGTAATATGTATGATCAGGAAAGCAAGTTTCTTTATTCATTTGAACGACACCTTTGGTTGATGACTCAATCAATTTTTCACAAGAGTGCAAATAGTATATCCCAACAATAGACTCCCGATTCCTATGAATACTTTAAATAGGCTAGCAGCAAGAGTACAATTTCTCTTAGAAATATTGTTAAGCCAAGCTTCAAAGAAAGCATAATTTGCCTTTATGCCAAAATGAAAAATATACGCAGTTCTCTTATAGTAAAACGCCTGTAGCTTATTAATTGTAAGTCGAAATTATCCAAACCACACTCAGACAAACGCTCTTACTATGTGATCCTACCATTTGAACGAGTGTACCAAAATCTATATTGGTTACAATTTACTTACCTTCTGCTATCTTTGAATAAGCTAACCTATCAATATTAGAGTCTAAACCAATATATTCTGCACCGAAGCCCTAACTATGACAACAATAGTTAAATTTCTTCATCATTTGGTCTTAAAAATACCAATATGACCAACTGCACGTGACTTAACCATCGTGCTTTTCATCTTAAATCTCCCCAAAACTTAGTATTTTATTAGGAGAGAATATTTAACTGTTTACGCTTAATACGTAAATGCGTTAATTCTTAAAGTTCAGGTGGCTATCTAAGCTAAGTAATAGTACACAACTTCAAAAAAATATTTCAATCTGGGACTAAATAACTTAAAGTACCTCCGTACCTGCTCTTTGAATAAACTACATCATCCTCGATAACGCAGATTAAAAGGAGATTCTTCTAGCAAATATAGCAAAGGTTGCATTGCATTTCAGTGCAAAATGGGGTAACGTCCATTGGCTGAAAGAATCATGTTTGGAGTTGTGTGCGTGGATGTGTAAGCGGTTGGTCAATTGTGGAAACGCTGTTGGGCGGGGAGGGGAGGGCAAGTGGGAAGGATAGAGGACTCAGTAGAATAACTAGTATGGAACTTGTAAAAACATGGCATGGTTAATTAAAAAAATATTGTTTTGTGCCTGAATGTTAAGCACTGTCAATGAGTATACAGTGAGGCTATTTGCAAGAGGACGGCATTAGTGACTACCTTTTTCCTTTTCAGAGAGAGAGAGTGTTTGTGTGTGAAATTGAGCGACGGGACCTTTCTACCATATATCCACTTTTCTACCATTTCAAACAAAATAGAACCGGCCTCTTCAGTTAGGAAATAATGAGAGTGAGAGAAATGAAAAAATATGCGAAAGTTATGAGTCATGGATGTTATGAAAGACAGTGTTTCTAAAAGAAAAAGGAGAAGAAGGGAGGGGGGAGGGAGAGGTTGGGTTCGAGCAAAAGGAAGAAGGTAGAGAATAATGGTCGAAAATTGACAAATTTGGATTTATTTACAGCGTCTCCGTCGTAAATTTATTCAACCCAGTCTAGTAGTACATGGACTCCGAGGAATAATGCTGCCAGGATGAATAGCTAGTGAGTGAGGAGAAGGAATTGAAGTTGGGCCGATAATCCGATGTGTAGGCAGTACCGGGTGGATTTTGTTCACTTCCACCCACCTCAGGGCTCCCTGTGCCCGCCGGTGGGTGATTCTGCAAAGAACCATATGGGCCAACCGCCTGTGAAACTGACTGCTCTACGATCACATAATTGCAGCCATCGTTGTTATCCCAGTACTCACCGCTTTCCCCATTGTGTCCAGCCTGAAAACATACTGCAAACTGCACCTCTCTAGGTTCGGGCATCTGTGAAATGTCAACACTGAAGTTAAACATAAACTGATCGTAAAGTGAGTTAGCACTGCTTGCGATTGGAGTTTGAATATTATATACAGCTGGGTAGTCTTTATAACTCTTCCAACCATCAGTGGTTACACGCAGTTTGACAGTTTTTTCAAAAGCGATATTCTTCACCTTGGCTTTACCGTAGATGAAGAGGTTGTTGGTGTTTTCTGTTCGATTAGTCAAGGTGACATTCTCAAGCGAGACGAATTTAGAATCAAGACGCTGTCGAAAAGCCAGATATTGAGCAGCAGGCTGGGCAAATGTGATTCTCCAATTGGCATAACCAGTGGTAGGCGATGTAAGAGGAGATTTTGGCGTGGCTAAATTTAGTGTTCCATTGGAGCTGTTTGAGTGATGAAGTTTTGGTACTGGAGGTGGAATTTTCATTATATCTGGCAAGCTATTGACTTTAGGCACTAACGCCTTGAATGCGGGCCTAACTACACCTGGCAATAAATCATCTCCAAGGTCGCGGAAATCGTCGTCGAATGCTGAAAGTAAATTGGAAATTAGCTGCCTCCAAATTCATGCTATAAATAACGTTAGAAATATCACCTATTGTTAATTATACTTTTCCTATTATGAGAAGTACGTGATTTGCTGATTTTGCTAAGCCATTCAAGAATAACTATCGGTATTTACGTCTCTCTTAAGACTCTATAACCAAGCTATTAAGTAAGTTGCACTTTCGTAAGGTCAGTTTAATGCCCCCCCCTCCCCGACACTTGGCTAATCAACAGATAAAAAACAAACATTTAGTTGATGAATTTGAAACGGTTGTAACCGACTCTTCCCACAAAATTCAATTTCCTTAAATAACTAAAATTTTATGATGGAATGCCTCTTGGAATTCATATGTACTTTATTGTCATAATCTGCGTGACAATCGTACGATTTGCATTTGCAATACAGCCCGTGATACTTGTTGTAAAGACAGAAAATGCGAGTAAGGAATGAGAAACTTACATAGGTGAAGATTTGGAGGCAAAGAAGTATCAGTTATAACCTTTTCTTGACACAGCTCACAGCCGACATCATCAGCAAACCGCACACACTTTTTCTTTTTGTTCACTTTAATAACAGGAGGATCTAGATGCTTTTCCACTTCCTCTGAGCTTGGAGTAGGTTGATTCACAGCAACTGGCTCAGTTGGGCATTCCTTATTTTCTTTCATTTCTTCACCATTATTTTCTTCCAATGTTCCAGCTTCGAAAATTGGGACCTTCGTAGGTTCTTCAGGCGAATCGAGAGATTCACTTGATTCTACGGTAGTGGTCTCTTCTGAAATTTCTGGAATAATCTCCACAGTCGTAATACGTTCTAAAGGCTCTTTCGGGGTCGGTTCCGGTAGATCTTTTGCGTAGCAAATTTCAGAGTCCGAAAGGGAAAGACGTTTACGGGGTGGGGGGGATGAATTGCTTTTGGTTAGTCGGTCTTGAAGATTAAGGAAGAAATGTTCAAAAAAGGTGGATAAAGCGGCACAACCAAACTGGGAACTTTTGGCCTGAGGTTCACAACTTCGACAACGCGCCTTCCTATGCCACAACTCATATCCAAATGGTTCCTGTATCTCACTTGGCAGCAGACTTGTTATTGAGTGCCTTATTCCATCTTTTTCCTTTACCAATTGCTGAATATAACGGGCCAAAGAGGGTGGTAGAGCAGTGCCATTGGGAGTCCCATCCGGCATATCACGGGAGGCTGATTCAAGGAAATTTTCCATGAATAAACCACTAGTTAGTAGCCCTCTTTGACTATTTTTGCGACTATTACTAGGATGTGAGGTACATTTGAAGGAAGGTTCTTCTACAGAGTCCATCCAGTTACGAATTTTCTTGAACTTAAACTCTTGATGTCCATAGTCGAGTTCAATCATAGATCCAGTCCAGTGTTTTCCTTCAGCGTAGATGAGACCTAGTTCAGAAACCATCGAAGTTCACTCAAGTGTGTACGCCTTCCTATCGAAAGACTTTAGTTGAGTGGGCGCATGAAGAAATTCGAGCTCAAATGTTTTGCCGCAAGCGACAATCACGCTCAGTCGGTCAGGGGCTTTATAAATGGCAAGAAAACTATTGAGGCAACCAATCAGCTGACCTAGCAATTGGACCAGTCACGTAGGCAGACTATGCCCGCGATGCTGCTAGTTCTTCAGCCAATCAGTAAGTACCTAAAATTTGATTGGCTCTGCCAATGGTTGACGCACGTGAACGCTTTCAAAGTATTTTTTGATAAATTTTCTTTTGTGGGAAAACTTCCATTATTATATATATATATATAGTCAATAAGATTTTGAAACTAAATTGGGTGTAATCAGATTGTACACACTGTGTCGAGAAATAAGATTAATTTATGATAAACAATATAATAGATTAAAGCTTATTAGAAAACTTCGCATATTCCAAATAAAAATATCATAACCATTCGAAAATAACTCAAAAAGATTATTAATGATATTAACTTTGGGCTTTACTTAGGAGCCATTTAAGCGTAAGTGTTTTCTAGTGAAAGTCGAGCTAGAAAATAATACTGTGCTCAAAATGGTTAGTGACTATATTTTATTTCTGAATAAAAGTTTTTAATCAACCGCAGGCTATCTAGAAGTGGAATTCTTTACTTAATCTCATGAAATAATATTGATTTAAGTGACTTTATATTTCTTTCAATGTTTATTAACGCATCAATCTATCAAATATAATGCAATAAGAAGGGGGGTTTTGGTAGAATTTATTTATCTATATTAAATGGCAGACTTTATGATAGTTATCATTAGTCCTTAGTTGACTTCTGGCTTCACAGAGGGGAGGAACATCAAAGGCACAAAAAAGTAGAGAGGGGGAACAGAAGAATGAGTTACAGATGAAAAGGAGACGGACAGGTAGAGAAAACGGTATGCTAAATACTGTGGAAGTGGTAGAATATGACATATAATAGGATTATGGTAGTTTGAAGTCCGAAGTCAACTGTCGGTTTATGGACCTTTTTAGTCGTATGAGTATACATTGCCCAGGGTGCACCACGTGGAGGTTAGTCTATCACATACCCCAAATTTGTTAAAATGGTAACATCTATTTGGTCTAAATTAAGTTGAGCGTCTAAATTACTATTTTCAAAATAAAAATAAAGAAAAAATAGATAATCCATTCACTACGAGCAATAACATTAGCTTCGCATCAATCTTATCACGCATTTTTTAACACTGGTCTTGGCCACTGGCTACATTTGCCATACTTTCACTAACTTTAATAAGTCATTGACATACATGGAAAATTGCGTACCTGCAGATTGACTTGCTGACTCCTATTATTGATTAAGGCATTTTCAAATATCATTTTGACAATCTTTAATGAGGCGTCCTTAATAGCACTTATATGATAAGAAACTCAACTTAGAGCCAGAATTTCTGATTAGTACTTCTCACTAAGGAAGATAAACTTTATTATGACGAGCACTAGAAAAACATCAATATGACCAAAGGGGAATAATCTGAAATAATTTGTGAATTGAATATGATTGATTTGAAATGGATCGTCATTTCATCTCTATCGCAAGAAAGCCGTGGTGCACTCTGGGCAACGTATACTCTTACGCCAAAAAGTCTATTAATCGGCAGTTGACATCCCAATTCAAACTACTATGACTCCATTGTATTTCATATTCAACCGCTTTCACAGTACTCATCTCACCTTTTATCTAGCTTTGTGTCTGCCTCTTTTACATCTTTAAAACACTCTTCTGCTCCCCCCTCCCGATCATTTTCACTTTGATGTTCCTCCTCCTCTCTGTGAATCCTGAGGTCAACTAAAGGGTTAATGATAATTATCAAAACACCTGCAATTTGATATAAATAAATTAATAAATATCTGATCATTCGACCTTCTTAATCGCTAAAAGAAAAAATGACTTGGGTTGTAAAGCTAACCACCGTAAGCTCATAAACACAGTTAAATAGTGCCGGACATTGTACACAAGGACTCATTGTATTTCATGTCACTAAGCATGTAAGTTAGCCTTGGGACATTAATCAACCATTTAGAAAACATTCTAGGACATGAATTCATAATTAGGTGACTTGAGTGACCTATCGATAAATAAACGTTGCTCCCAGAATCCTTTTGACCCTTTTCACTTTATTTGGAAGCCAGAGATTGCAAGTTTAAGGAGAAGTTCATAGTAGTTTTAATCCTTCAAAACAAGAAGTCTTTTTTTCGAGAAAATTCAGCAATATTGAATATATAAACATATTATCACTTTTGCGATCAATATATCACGCCTTCACTAGATAACTTCATAGTCCCAACCAATTTAGAGGTACAATCAAGTACAAGAGTGTGAATTTCATATATACCCTATCTTGATCCATCATTTTAACAGCAATACAATATTTAGCATATAACGATTACTCTCGATGCAGATAATTATATTCTTAAATCGAGAATGGCCTTTCAACTCTGTTTGGACGAGACCTTTATATAAGATTGTTCTATCATTATGGTAATTATCTCAAAATTTCATTGAAGGATTGAGTCTTAACGCATTTACTCTTAATGGCCTTGACTAAATGGAAGTATTTCATAATACAGCTTTATGCGAAGATTTTGTTTATCATCAATCAACTCTACACTACAATATTGCCATTTGCGATTTTGTAATATAGTCAGTTAAGAGTCCTTTTTCAAATTCAAAGATGGTGATAAATCATTTCGTGAAAAGAATGGCAGGTCAAATGGGAAACTAATCAAGAACAACCCGGTAAAATCCTATAATTGAGTTCTGAACATGGGGCATGCGATAGACTTAGCTCCAAGTGATGCACCCTGGGCAACGTATACCCATACGGCAAAAAGTCTTCTGACTTCAAACTACCATGACCTCACTGTATGTCATATTCCACCACTTTCACTGTACTCAACTTACCTTTCTCTCTACCTTTATATGTGCCTCTTTTACATCTGTGTATAACTCTTCTTCCCCCCCTCTCGACTTTTTGTACCTTTGATGTTCCTCCCCTCTGTGAAGCTCGAGGTCAAATAAGGGGCTGATGATAATTATCATAAAGCCTGTCATTTGATTTAAATAAATAAAGTTCTGAACTTTCTAGAAAAGTCCTTAATTTTGGTCTTCTCAACTTACCATTAACAAATAAAAGTGAAAAATAGGTCAATAACTATAGTTTAATAATATTCAGGTGTGTTTACTAACCATAGAAGTGAACCTTCTATTTTTTGTAGTGTTGACATGTTGAGAGGTTTACTAATAACATCAAAGTAATTTTCACTTTAGCGATGAATAAAGTTGGATGAGTAGGCTCACTTTTCCTTCGTATCGATGAATAAATACCATCATATTAAAATAACTTTTGGAGATATATTGTCCATTCTAGAAAGTTCGTTCTTAGAGGCTAAGTCTTTTCAGATGCTTTAGTGATTTTTAATGAACATTGGAAACTGCGACCATGAAACAGTACCACAGAAATTCGCTGTGAGCCCACCTTCTAGGTTGTGTTTAGATTAAATTAACCACCCTTTTCTCTATTCCAGTGCCAAAAACATTTTGTCGATGATTATTTGATCGAAGCCTGACAAAGATTGACCGGTATCAGGTTAAATCTTAGAGGGAGATTGTTGTTATAACCTTGTATTTTCACTTGGTTGTGAATAAAAATATCAACGATTTATGAGTTGAGTTGTTAAAATATCTATCATAACAGTGTTTTCCAATATTTAATGTTATCTTATTATAATTAAATTTATTTATGACAAATGGCAGACATTGTAATAGTTATCATTAGTCCTTTAGTTTACTTCGGGTTTTACAGAGGTGGGGGGGTATGAAGCTAACGGAAAAATGATTCACAGATACAAAAGAGGCGGACAGACATAGACGTAGAGAAAATGGTAACGTGAGTATTGTAAAAGCGGTTGGAAATGACATACAGTGGGGTGATGGTAGTTTGAAGTCAGAAGTCAACTGTCGGTTTATGGATCTTTTTGTCGTACAAGCATACGTTGCACAGTGTGCACCACATGGAGGTATGTCTACCGCACACCCCATAGAATGAATATTAAAAGTCAATATTTGTTCTTAACTTTGCTTGCTTATTGACAGGTTTCTATTCTATAGAGGATATGATTCAGTATTCCGAAAGTGTTCAAGAGAAGGAGGCGATAAACTTCCTCTCTGTATAGTCAGGAGTGGTTAGTTCGAGTCCAAATCAATTGCATGGGCACTGATATTAAGATAAGATGGAATGAAATCATAAAGGCTCCATAGTATTTTTTGAAATGAACCCTGATCCCACAACTGGTTAGTTCGGATTTACTTGTAGAAATCGATCCAACAAGTATTTGTCAAATGTAATAAAAATCAATATTTGTGATTTCATTTACACCAAATTATTATCCTCTTCTTCAAGAATGCGAAATTGTCTCTTTGACGAATTAAAATTATGAGGTCTGGTCATTTGAAGGACTTTCCAAAATCGAACTATCAAACAGTATCTCGGATGATTACTGTGAGTCTATCTTCTAGGTTGTGTTTAGATTATGTCAACCACCCGTTTCTTTATTTCAGTGCCAAAAACATTTTGTGCATAATTATCTGAGTGAAGCCTAAAACACAAATACGGCCGTAGAGAATCACGCCCTAAAAAATTTACCTCTAAACCCTTTGTTTCCAGAGCGGAGGTTATGATTCGCGGTCTCCTCCCTCTCCCTCTGATTTCTCCTCCATATTTACGCAAACACAACTTCTGCATATCCTTTTTTCTCTCCAATTGCTACTTCCGCCCAGGCTATCTACTAGGTGTTCACGACTGCCACAACGTGAGTTTTGATTTATATCAGGAAAATCACAATCACAATCACAACCACACACACACACACACAACACCACTATTCTCCGACACAGCTGTATAATGCATGATTGTGTAAT